GAGGGACACTGAGACAGATGTGTGTGTGTGTGGGTGATAACACACATTGATATACTCAGAGTATATAACTGTAAGAGATGATAAGATATGTCTAGGGGACCTATGGAGTTGTATGACATTGACCTTGAACTAAGAGAGAGAGAGAGAGAGAGAGAGAGAGAGAGAGAGAGAGAGAGAGAGAGAGAGAGAGAGAGAGAGAGAGGAGAGAGAGAGAGAGAAGAGAGATGAGGAGAGAGAGAGAGAAAAATAAAGAAAGAAAGAAAGAAAGAAAGAAAGAAAAAGAGACCGACAGAGAGACAGAAAGTCAGACAGTATTGTCCTGATAGACAGAGAAAGCAATCCTAGATCTGCTATCATACAGAGATAAAACACAATAGAAACAAAAAAACAATAAAAACTAAAACACACAACAACAACAAAAAACACACAGGTAAAACACAATAAACAGGTAAAACACAATAAAAACCAAAACACAATAAAATAAATATAAAAACAGGTAAAACACAATTTTTAAAAAAAAACACACAATAAAAAACAAAACACAAGTAAAACACAATAAAAACAAAAACACAATAAAAACAAAAACCGGTAAAACAATGCAATTATTTTCAAAAACACGCATGGTAAAATGAACACAACTATATTTAATGAAATATTATGAGTAATTCTTCTTCATACAGCCACTCATCTCTAGTGGTAATACATTCATAGGAAGTTCTTATCTATTATGTTACAGAGTTTTCTTTTAGCTCATGTACACATTTTCTTTTTCTTTTTTTGCTCACCTATACCCATTACACTATGAGAGTCCACACGCGTTTCACCACACACAACACAGACTGACTATGTAATATGGCTCTAGTAGTCTAATAGCACAGATCTCAACAAGGAAGTGACACAATAGGACTGAACTCTGACCCCTTACCTTTGCTATCTGTAATGGAGTGGGACAAAGTTGCCCATAGACACTGATCTAAGGTCATTTTTGCATGGCCCTCATGGTTAAGGTAAGAATTGGAAGAGGATAAGCTGATCCAAGATATGTGACCATTGGCAACTTCTATCTAGAGTATCTTAAAGAGGACCCTGGAAAGCCTATGTCAACAGTAATGATCCACTTGGCACAAAGCTAAACAATGAGGTATGGTAGGATGAGGATGACACAACAGTTTTTTGGTTGGTTTTGAGAATAGATGTGTACTAGTTAAGGGACATCATAAGCATGCCCCTATGAAACGGACTGGTCATTTGGTAGTAGGGTTTTGACACAGGTCTGCTGGAACAAATAATATTAATCAAACATTATTTCAAAATGTCACGATTCTAAGAGAGGTTTGGTTCAGGTTGAAATTGAGATTACAACATAGTTTTGACAAACCAATGGCAACCCAGTTCCAGTAGAATAAGAGAACTGCACGCAACATAGACATACAACCACACTCAATTGGCAGTATTAGAACAAAAGTTTTAAAAAATATATAAGAAAATAAATAGCTACATTACGTCAGTGCAAAAATAATGCCTCATAACATCCCCTCCATCAATACACAAAACAAATAGAAAACAAATAAATATAAAATAAATAATGTAGACTACATATAAATACATTAATAATATTCTGGCACTGGCTTAAAAGGTTAACACCAAGGACTAAGGCTGTGTCTCTCCCTGGCTCTTATAAGTGAAGGCAAGATACATGCAGACAGAGTATAGGGATGGATACAGACAGTGACAGACTGGTATACATCATCTACACACAAAGGCTTATGTATCACTGTGTAAATACACCATTTTACCCCATATAGAGGCTGACTCTGTTTTGTATTCAGATGTGGTGACAAGTGGTCTGAGCACTTTCACCTTGCAGGATAATAAATGTCTCAATAAGGTTTGTAGAGGATCTTAATCTTATCAGCAGCATCATCATCATCATTACCATTACAATCATTATCATCATCTTTGCCATACTAACCACTTCTCCTCCCTTAAAGAGAACCCAATCTAGCCACACTACTTCACTACTTATTCACTACTATTCTCTGCTGCCATTAGACCAGATGAGAGTCCTGCCTCTGTATCCTCTAATATGGCCAAGTGTAACTGTATCTGTGTTTGTTACTGTATCTGTATCTGTATCTGTGTCTGTATCTATGTCTGTATCTGTATCTGTATCCGTATCTGTGTCCATATCTGTATCTGTCTACATCTGCATCTGTGTCTGTATCTGTATCCTTGGTGTCCACATCACCAACAAACTAACATGGTCCAAGCACACCAAGACAGTCGTGAAGAGGGCACGACAAAACCTATTCCCCCTAAGGAGACTGAACAGATTTGGCATGGGTCCTCAGATCCTCAAAAGGTTCTACAGCTGCACCATCGAGAGCATCCTGACTGGTTGCATCACTGCCTGGTATCGCAACTGCTCGGCCCCTGACCGCAAGGCACTACAGAGGGTAGTGCATATGGCCCATTACATCACTGGGGCCAAGCTTCCTGCCATCCAGGACCTCTATACCAGGCAGTGTCAGAGGAAGGCCCTAAAAATTGTCAAAGACTCCAGCCACCCTAGTCATAGACTGTTCTCTCTGCCACCGCACGGCAAGCGGTACCGGAGCGCCAAGTCTAGGTCCAAGAGGCTTCTAAACAGCTTCTACCCACAAGCCATAAGACTCCTGAACATCTAATCATGGCTACCCCCCCCACCCCCCACCCCCTCCCCTATTTTACGCTGCTGCTACTCTCTGTTTATTATCTATGCATAGTCACTTTAATAACTCTACTTACATGTACATATTACCTCAATTACCTCGACTAACCGGTGCCCCCGCACATTGACTCGGTACCGGTACCCCCTGTATATAGCCTCGCTATTGTTATTTTTACTGCTGCTTTTTAATTATTTGTTACTTTTATTTCGTATTATTTTATATTGTATGTTTTTGTGTGATTCTTTTGGGGATTCTTTCTTAAAAATGCATTGTTGGGTAAGGGCTTGTAAGCATTTCACTGTAAGGTCTACACCTGTTGTATTCGGCGCATGTGACAAATTACATTTGATATGATTTGATTTGATCTGTGCAGGCTCAGCTGTGAACACCCAGCCTGAATGCCTGTACATTGTACGCCACGAAACCAACTCATGACGTACGATGACTCTACACCCCCATTACACACACACACACACACACACACACACACACACACACACACACACACACACACACACACACACTCTGACAGAGAAATATCTGCATACACACACACACAGTTACACACAGTCACAGGCCCCACATGCGTCTGCTGAATGACAAACACATATAATGGCCACATCTCACCATCAAACACCACACATCAGCCATGCACTAGAAATAGACCAATTAGAATAGACTGTTTCACTATTCCACATAGCCTACTATTAAATAAGACTAGCAACCAACACTGCGGATTATATTAGTTGTTTCATGCTTAGCACAGAGTGAATTGATGCTTAAAGCAACAATGACCATTCTCTTCCTTCTATTTCTAGATACGATTCATTCTTAAAGGGGGGTGGACACACCAGGTATGTGTGATGAAAACAGAGATGCTGAGCAAAGGCCTAAGTGTTATTTTCATCTATTGCATCTTTGTGCTCTTTCTCTGGCCTCAGGTAGACACATATGCACAGATGCACTGCATCACAATAAACATTAAGACAGGCCAGCGTAGAAACATAGATAACAGATAACCAGCAAGTGTGATTTTCATTGGCACCTATCAGCCATGCAACTCCATGTCTATCTAGTCTATTGTTTCATCCGCTCTCAATGGCTAAATGTACGTACACACAACTAAGGATCTCCAGTAGTTTCCTCTCCTCCTCTTCTTTTCTTCATCTGATATGAAAGAATTGGACAAGTGGAAGAAAGTTCCAGTAGACATCCACCATATTTCTTTCACCTATCCAATGTTTTCAGATCTATGCAGATTATAGAGAGGAGACGAGGAAAGGAAGCCGCTTTAGACTTTTGAGATGTCCCCACAATCTACAGTATCTGCAACTCCCCCATAATATCAGACTATTCTAAAAAGGATGAGGAAATACTCAACGACCTGACTGCAGATGCAAAGTGTCAGTCTTCTGGGAAGAAATGGATGCATTAGAAGTTCTAAAACAGATCCTAGACCAGCATAAAGGGGTTAGTTGGGGGTCACCAGGGAGTTTGGTCATATTTAACAAGCACTGAGATGTTGTATGGGAGAACCACATATTTTCATTCTATGACATTGGGATCATATATGTAATTAATAGGCTATCTATACTATGTATACTCATATTAAATCAGATTTGGGATCTGATGACGTATTTATATGGAACTGCACTCATCTGCATCTTGTCTGAACAGTGTCTGACATATCAATATAATATCAATACAATGATTCATATTTTGCAAGGACGCAAGTCAGGGGGTCAGTATGTCAAACACACATGGTTGGGACAACGCATCTCATTTGGGGGACACAGGTAACACACACGCTGTTGCCATGGTAACATCAACTCGACAATGGGAAACCCAGGCGGAGGAGTTTCTCAGCGATGGCGTCATTAACTCCTGATCCTTCTTTTTCTCAACTCTTTTCTCCATCGGTTTATCTTTTCCTCTTTGGCTGTTTTTCTCTCTACTCCTCTATCTCTACTCCTTCATCTCTACTCCTCTATCTCTACTCCTCTATCTCTACTCCTCTATCTCTACTCCTCTATCTCTACTCCTTTATCTCTATATTCAGTCTTTCATTTCTTCTAGCCCATTGTGTGTGTAGAATCTCTGAATCCATCACTCATTAGCACAAACAACAACAGCCTCTGGCAACAAGAAATGCCCCCCAGTAGTTATTCCCTGCTCAACAGGTACAGGGCGCTGTGTTGGGGAGGGGGGGGGTGGGGAGGGGACGACGACACACGATTCCCCTCCTGGCGGTGTGTGTGTCGTGTGTGTGTCATACAGCGATCAACACTTGAGCTGCTCCATCTCGGAGCACTCCGTGTCCATGTCCGAGTCGTAGAGCGAGTGGCCCGTGTGGTCACTGTCTGGCGAGATTGTGTGTGTGTGCGTGGGCGTGTGTGTGTGAGGAGGGCTGGTCTCATCCTGGAAGGTGTCTGTACGGGAGTAGAGCCCCAGGTCCTGGAGTTTGGACGGGGAGTCATCGTCCTCTGTGGTGTCATCGTAACAGAAATCCTCCAGGTCAATGAACCACTCGGGCCAGAAGCGCCGGCGGATCCTCTCACAGTAAATGGCCAGGTTGATCAGCTCGCCTGGCGCGGATAGGATGGGTCAAAGGTCAACACAAAGGCAAAGGTCAACAAGCTAAGCAAGATCAGCTGAGAATGGGTCAAAATGTGGTGTGTTTTATTCAATAAAGATGGAGACTCTTCTAGTCTGATTCCTCCCAAGGTTTCTTCCTCATCACTGTTTTTTTTTTTATGATTATTTTTACATTTGACAATTTGTTTTTATTGTTTTTCCACAGCACCCCACAAACAACACAACACAAAAACAAAATGGCCACTATACAACACATTCCCCAAGGTGATCAACATATGGTTTTCAAATTTCATCAAACACTTCCGGTTTTTATTTAATTTGATAATATACCAAATCCAACGGAATGTAGCTAGATAGTTCAGTCCTCCACTTTGTTATTGAGGGTAAATATGAGGCCTTCCAATTGATGGTTATACATTTTGTTTTGCAGAAATTAGACCTAGAATACAAAACTTTCTCTGATATTGATCATCAATATTGACATTTCCCAACAGACATAATCGTGGAGATGGACGGATATAAATTCGTAGACACAACGAAATGATAGCACATACATTATCTCAAAAAGGTGTCAGTTTATCAGAAGACCACAGCATATGTAATAGATTTCCTTTCTGCATCTCCAGCAGAGATGTGACATTTCTGGCAGGAGTGTAGTAAGTCCTATGAATTCTCTTAAATTGCTGTAGTTTATGTCTTAGGTTGTAGGAGCAGGTATTTACATTTTCACATATCTGTGAACAACGGTTCTCCTCAATGTTTTCCTTTAGATTTAGAGTTTCAATCATCCTTTCATATAACTTGGCAATCAACTTCTTTGGCATATCAGCTTCTTTCAGTATTTTGTCTATGCTAGATGCCTTAGGTTCATCTAGATTCTGTTGAAGCGATTTAATACGATTTCTGAGTTGTTAGAACTTAAAGAAATCAGCCTTGGATAATCCAAATCTTTCTTGTAATTGATTTAATTACAGTAGAGATCCATCATATTATACATGTTCAAAATTCATGATGACACTTTGGAACCAGGACTTAAAGGTGTTGTCATTAAACACTGGAGGTAAGGTGGGGTTATTCCAAATAGAGGTGCCTGGCGATATTGGTTCTTTGAATTGAGAATCATTGGATTGTCTGTTTTTTTCTTCAATGCCTTGGACCCGAAGTAGTGAATATATTTTAGATCATAAAGTATTACATTTCTGGCCTCGATACTCCTCCATGCACAGGATAGTCTGCTGTCCATTGTTTAAGTGAACCCAGGTGTGCAGCCCAGTAATACATTTTCATATGAGGTAGTCCAAGACCACCAGCTTTATAGGGTAAGTGTAAAACAGTCAATTTGTCTCTTGAGATCTTTCCATTCTAAATAAAGTTGGGAGAGCAGGCCATGTATTTTATTAAGAAGTTGGATGGAATTGAAACTGTCAGGGCCTGGAATACATCAACTTTGATAATATATTCATTTTGATTATGTTGACCCTACCCAACATAGAAATAGGGAGAGATCTCCATCTCTTAACATCGGATTCAATCTTACCAAGTAAAATAAAATATTTGATTTTATATGCCTCCTCCTGATTGCATGGTATCAGTACACCCAGATATGTCATATGTATATTTGTCCATTTCCACTTAAATGTACTTTCTAAGCTTGAGAAGTCATAATTAGAAATTGGCATTATTCAAGCTTTCTCCCAATTCACTTTGAATCCTGATACAGCACCATATGTTTCTAACAGTAGTAAAATAAATGACAGAGAATGTTCTGGTTCAGATAAATAAAGTAAAATGAAATCTGCATACAATGATATAACATGTTGATCTCCATCAATCTCTATGCCCCTGATTGAGCCATGAGTTCTAGTTATTGATGCTAAGGGTTCTGTGGTGAAATAAAATAAATAACTAGACAAAGGTCATCCCTGTCTCGCTGCTTTGGGGGATTTGTACAATAGCTCAATCCAGGAGATAAATACCGGACCAAAACAAAACCTTTTTATGACAGCCACCAAGTATGCCCATTCCACCCTATCAAATGCTTTTTCAGCATATATTGATCCTGCCACTTTTGGAGCGTTCAAGTTCTTGGTATGATGGATTATATTGAAAAAATGGCGGAGATTGTCTGATCTGAGTTTGATCTGAGTGAATCAACTTTTGTATTACTGTTTGTATGGGAAAAGACAATACTTTAGCAATGATTTTGTCATCCACATTCAAGAGTGATATTGGGCAGTAGGATCTGCATGACAATGGATCCTTATCTTTGTGATGATTGCTCTAACTTGCTATTTTATTTCTTATTTTGAACCCCTGTAGGCTCTTTCTGGGGAGTAATGTTAACCATGACAGGCAATGTGGATTGTTGGTGAACTCACCTTTGATGAGTTGCTCTGGCCTTGTGCCCGGCAGGGTCCACATGGCAGGGGCTAGATGGCTGAACACAGTGGCATCCACCAAGGACAGCTTAGGACCCATCAGGTACTTCTTATCACCTACCCAGAGAAACACCAAGAATCAGGGGGCGAGAAGAACGTTGTCTGGGACATGTGATAAAATGTTGACAGGAAAGTAGTCCACATGGTGTAGTATCCTACTTTCTCCAGAAGAGGACAGAATTGTATAATTTATCTTATTATAAAAAGGCTGTTCCTTCAAACACCTGAAACTGGCCATCGTACTGTAAACCCAAGTAATCTATACAACAATAATGGAACCTACAGCTGGCCTTAGCCCTAGATATGAGATTAACAAGGCTTCTAAGGCTGCAGACTGTACCTTGTGAAATGAGGTGGAGATTATGATCTTTAGGATTATGTGTGATCTTAATGACTATCTACAGTATACTCTCCCTACCGAGCAGGGTGGCCAGCGTTCTCATGTCCTTCTCCATTAGAGCGTAGACCTGCTCCTTGGTGAACCGTCCAATCCCGTGGCCGTACATCTCCCTCTTCACGATGCCGCCAGTCAGGTGACTCAGGATCCACTTGAGTAGGTCACTCAGTGGCCCGCTCACCGCCAGCATCTTCTGGGTCTCCTCCAGGTTGTCCACCCACTGACAGTAAGCTATGGTCCTGTCACACACAGACGTGATGTTCGTTAGGTCAACAGTATCTCAAATCTATATGCTGATAAAGTGTGGTCCCGACGGCACAGTTGGTTCGGAGAATGGTGCTTGAAACACCAGGGTTGTGAGTTTCAAGGGACAGATGTAATGGTTTGCAACACAATCACATTCACTAGTGTATCATCCTATCCCTCAGTATCAAATAAATGAGGTCTCCCAACAGAGCAGCATCTAGTGGATGTCTTGCTGTAGTGTCAGGAAGTGTCTCACCAGTAGAAGTGTTCCTCCACCATCTTGGTGACAGCCTGGGACACAGCCTTCTCTGGGGGACTGAGGTTCTTGTCGAGGCTCACGCCCAGCTTCTGCTCCAGGAAGTCGATGATGAACTCTGTACCAGACACCTGCTCCTGGTTGTACTCTATCCATGGCATCTTCCCCTGGGGAGACAGCTTCCCATCAAAGTAGTTCTGCATGACAGAGGGAGAGAGAGAAAGGAAAGAGGAAGAAGGAATTTCAATGGTCAGTTACTCTGCAATAGAAAATTACACCATGTTACATCAAAATCACTCATTGAAGCACACACCAACCCAAACATCGCTCTCTCTGTCTCTCTTTCTCTGTCCCCCCCCCCCCCCCCCCCTCTCTCTCTCTCTCTCTCTCACACACACACACCTGGTAGGGCAGGTCCACCATGCGTAGGTAGGTCTCCATCTTGAGGCAGAAGGGGGAGAGGGAAGGGACGCCACTCTTTGGCCTGGAGAACTGGTGGAGGATGATGGCATCTTTAGAGTTCAGCTCCTGCTCCTTCCTATGGACCAGCCAGAGCAAGGCAGTGTGAGCTCCACATTCTAATCACTCATCCTTATAAATGTTATTGAACACAACTTAAAGTTAGTGCATATATTCATGAAATATGTGTGGGAATCAAACCCTCAACTCCGATGTAGCAAGGCCATCCTCATATTAAATAAGTGCAAATTAAGTCCCAATTCAAATACACTGTACATTATTTAGTATCTCTGGATATCTGGATCCCCTAGTAGGCTATAGTGCACACATGACACTTCCAAGCTTTTACATATATCTGGAGTCGATTATAGGCTAATGATCAAATTGTACTTTGAAAATAATCAAGGAAATGTTCTTAGATCTTATGCATCAATCTCATGTGCAATAGTAGGTCCCGTTTTACAGCTATCTAGCACAGAGAGCTTTGCACAAGACCCATGCTGAAACTTTCCTCGAACAAGGGTGCCATTCCCACAGGGACACTACAATGTCAAAACAATTAGGACACAACCAGGTGAAATACTGTAGCTGATCATATTACACGTTCGTACTGACCAACGTAGTCACAAATAGGGGCCCTATTACCTTGAAAATTAAAAGGATTTGAAACCGGTAGCCTACCTCATAAAGGTGCTGAAACACTAGGATCGCATGTTCTGAAATACTGAGGAGCTGTCCATTTAGCGGTGGTGCTGAAATGCCCACATACCTAAAATAAACTAACGTTTTGATCCAATTATCTATAGAATGCAAAGCACTTCGGTGTAATGGCACATAGGGAAAGTAAACTAGACAATAACTACTTAGAGATCGACTTAAAATGGGTCTACACTTAAAAGAAAGAGCACAGGCTGAGCAAAAAGAAGAGCTATGAGAAAACACACGCAGTGCTAGCCACGTGTAAAAACAAGACAGTCAAAATGCCATTTTATGTAAACAACAAGCTTTAGGCCACAACGCTTCCTATTGGTGTAGTGTGAAGTCAATTCAAATCGAATCCTACATCGATCTCTGTGAGAGTGTGTTTATCTAGCTGAGTAGGCCTTGGGGCTATCGCTGCAGGTAACCCGAGATGTTTTTGTAAGGACCGCAGCGACCTAACTCAATCCCCCCAGACATTATTTCAGGTAAAATCTAGGGATTCTACTGCGAAGCTGAAGTTTTATTGGTTACGGATGGTCAATTCCTGTTAGCTAATATCTATTCGGGCCTGGCTTTTCGCTGTATAATTCTCTCACGTGCGAGGTTAGTAAAGGTCATTCTATCACAACCGCAATGTTTGTCTATACTGCAAGACTCTACTCGACAGAAAACAAGAAGACATATTTGGCTTGGGTACAGCAATATAACCAATATCACATGCCCTATCGTCCCATGCCCTTGAGAAATCGTAAATAAATAAGAGTCAACCTTTGCAGCAATGAAAATGATCTTATTGTATTTACAAACAAATATCTCAAATAACAGGCTTCACGCTACATATGAACAAATCAATGGATGGTTTTCATTTGACATCTAGGCCTAATACCCACATCACTCGAATACGAAGAGCCATAACACTCGCGTGATTCATTGGTTTATTTATTTTCTTTCCATAACGCGACTTAAACATGGAATCTCCTTCAAGCGGACACGGGCCTTTAAGCTACATCCATTTTTGGTAGCCTACCTGATGGCGAGCAGCTCGTGCAGTAGATAGGCAGCGGCGGCAAGCAGAGCGCCCCCGGTCAGATAGAGCGTTTTCCGCCACCACGAGTCCGACCCAAGGAGCGGCATGATCCCGCCGTAGTCCTGCAGAGGGTAGGCGATGATGTACCCATACAACGAGAGCTGCTCATTGGAGCCGCACAAGCCGAAGGAGAAGCTCTGGTTCCGTCCAAGATCAACCACACATGAGCGCGTCCAGGCGAACCCGACGCGCCAGTACATTCTCTCTCTCAGTGGCCTCTTTCCGCCTTGCTTTAGCCGGTTTTGGCTTCATCAACGGGGGCTTCATGGGTGCCAAGGGGTCGTTGCGATGCGGGATGCGAGAAAGAAAGGGATAGCGGCCATCTCGCCTGGCGGTTGTCCCGTCCCCGCAGCGGGGCGGTATCCTTCGCAGCGGATCGTCGCCGCTCTGTCTCTCTGGCGTGACCATCCTGAAGTCTCGCGAGTATATATTCTGTTTCGCTACACAGATTAATTTTTTTTTTTAATTTTTGGATTATGTGTGTGTTGCTAGGTATTACTTCACTTTTGGAGCTAGAAACACAAGCATTACGCTCGACCTAAGAAAATATCTGCAAATCTGTGTACCGACCAATAAACTTTGATTTGAATCTTTGAGTGAAGTGAAGCAAAACGAGAGCTGGTAGGTCAGGATGGTCTTGCATCAGGCAACAGCTGAATGCCCCTGAAATACAAATAATATAGACATTCAGTAGTGCAAAGAAGAGGGAGCTATAAATGCATCAACCCATTTGGTTACTGCAATATTCTCTTTATTACCACAAAAGATTTTCAAAAAGAAATACAGTTCAAGTAATAGCCTATACTTGATAAACCATACACGTTCATGATGTGTTTCTATAGAGACGGGGTAAACACTTTGATGTGTTTCTATAGAGACGGGGTAAACCCTTAGTAGGCTAAACCCAGTCAGTCAAGTGAACACATTTGATAAATGATGGCGCCTGTAGAGGGGAAGGGAACTCTTGAGGCAAAAGGCTGTATCTCAATAGTCTAAAAGCTGGATCCTCTCCTCATTATCTCCTTCATCTGCAATGACTTGCAAACAGCCAGTAGGTGAAAGTAATATGGAGGATGACCACCAAGTCTGATTTCACCTAAATTTTATTTTTGCATCAGTGTATATGAAGCAACCTATACAAGGAGACTAAATTCACTTCAGACTATTGGGATGCATCCAGAGAATGGACCACAATAATAACCCCCCCCTCCCTGCAATAGGACACAAGTCTCATTACCTTGACAAACAGCTTTATTTTGTAAGGCATTCAAGCACCCGGTTCTGGACACACACAAACACATCACAGAACCCAAGAGAAACTCAATGTCACACACACACACACACATCACTCCCACTGTATTACGCCACAGAAAATATATCAATATCTACAAGTAAATATGCACACAATGGTATTGTGACACTTCAATTTGATTAAATACATGGCAAATGCAGACAGAAAACAACATTGGACCCTGGCTTGGGTAGGACTGATTCAATATGCAATCAAGAACACACAGCTAAAAATCCACCTCCTTTCCCCACCAAAAATGTGATCGTAACAATATTCTCCATCGAAAAAAAGCAGAATAAGGAAACATAAAAATGCACTTTTTTTTGTTGCAGGCTAATTATATCATGATAGTAAACACATTTGAGCACTTTTACTTGAAGCAGACAGCTAATACGTTTCATGATTTCTACCCAAGCAAATTTGCTAAATCAAATAAAAGACAAGAGTAAAGCTATTTACAAAGGCTGGAGATATAACAGGTAATGAAGACATTTGAATCTAGCGGGTATACCCCGGAAAATACATTCTCCCCCATGACTTCACCTGCTAAGCTCTGTAACCAATCAATGTAGACCTTAGATAAAAGGACATCCAATCGGGTCACACAATCAAACATCCGCACATCCTTTCAGATCGCATCTGAAACAGTACAGGGTCCAATCATCTTAGCGATACCAGTTAAAAGGACTACTATTCTCCCTGAGGAATGAAGACACTGCCAAATGGGCCACTCACGCACTCACAAAATCACTAATGATCAAGTTTTCTCTGGTCCCACGGAGCTCCATATTATGATTGTTCCCCGAGAGTGTTCAAGGAAGTCAGGATCATCACAACTCATAGTCCCCCCCCTCCCTCCTTACATCCTCCTGTTTCTCGCAGTTTGGTTTAGTTCCATAAGGTTCTCCTGCTCAGACGTTGAATGCATCAACCAATGGTTGCGAGCGAAGTCATCAACTGCGCTGTCGGGCACTATATTGCTATAACATATGTGGTTAGCTGATACGTAAAATAACTATCCAGGTGTTGTAAGATCTGCCATGCGTTAGCAACGCCTGGGCACAGGAACGCGCCCTTTAACTGTTCAGGGATGGAAACACAGGACTGCTGCAACCGATTGGCTGATGCCAGCATTCCTGTGCCATCTCTCTGATGAGTTATCATACATGAGCCGAGGTGGACATCCCATTGCCTATGACTGGCTGTAGGAGTTGTTCTGGTTCCCATTGGAGCTTTGGTCATTCTCACTGGTACACAAACAAAACAGGAAACAGTTAGAGACAGGAAGTGAATGGGTCATGTTAACAGTAAATAGCTGGAATACTGAGGCGAGATTAGGAAAGATCTCTGTACCTGTTGGGAGGCGGCTTGGGTTTAGGCATCTTGTTGAGCACTGCAGCCATCTCCTTCCTGTCGTCAAAGTTCTTCCACTGGTCGTACAGCTTCAGGATGACTCGGATGATCTCCAGGATCTGAGCAGAGCACATACGTCACCGCACAGACAATCAGCTTTCCTCTCCGATTGATTTATTAATATGTTTTGTGTGGCCTTACCTTCTCCATGTCGACAGAGAGCTCAGCGAACCACTGCCTGGCGTCTTTCTGCTGCACCACACAGGCAACATGCAGACAGGCTGTGGATGCAGGGGGAAGAATATGTGTGTAACACCTCACCTATATTTTATTGAGCTGAATATCTACCAGAAGGAAAGGTGAGAGGTCAGACGGGGTGTCTTACCTAGTGCAATCATGAAGGGAGGGTAGAGTAAACAGAGGTCTGTCCTATACGTGTCATTCACTATTCTCCTATAGAGAAATAAGACAGTGTTTCAATATTCTCATATCAAATCAATACATGCTCCAACAAACAAAGAAAAACTCATACCAGGCCAGTGGCAGTAGCATGTCCTCCTGCCCCATGTCCTGCACATACTGCAGCAGAGGTCTGTAGGGGTGGTATACTATCAAACAGCAGTCCTGGAACACGCATGAAATCAGTTAATGAATCCATCCATCCAACAAATGGATGACATGATCTAGCATTGAACGTATTGTGACAGAGACAAAACCTTCTATACTTACCATGAGCTCTAGTAGGTAGAACTCACATTCTAATATCTGTAATGAGGAAAGCAAATTAAGTACAAACTCAGTTTAGTAAATATATCAGTGTCATAGTCTCAATTTGTATCCCTTATCTCTCTATTATATAGTATCTGGGAATAACAACATCCTGCTAACTGAACCCCTACAGTGTGAATAACCATCTCCTCCATTGCGCCACACCACCAGAGAATCAATAATAGTCTACACAGCTTTTGGACAGGCAAGGTGTTAGGACAGCCCCAACGTGGTCCTGGCAACTCCGTGGAATTAGTAGATAAATAACCGGCGCTGCAATCGTAACCCACTTAGCGCCGCAGCGATAGATACGCCCCGGCGAGGACACGCCGCCGACCACAGTCAAAATCACCTCTCACGGCGATGGGAGTTTTGCCATAGGCTTGCAAACACTAGCTGTGGAATGTGGCGTCTCCGTTGACACTAACATACAACGTAAAGGACTCTTACTGGTATTTGAACTGGGTGGTTCGTGCACCGAATGCTGTTTGGCTGAAAGCCGTGGTATATCAGACCGTATTACACGGGTATAACAAAACATTACTTTTTACTGTTCTAATTACATTGGTAACCAGTTTATAATAGCAGTAAGGCACCTCTGGGGTTTGTGGTAAATGGCCAATACACCACGGCTAAGGGCTGTATCCAGGCACTCTGCGTAGTGTCGTACTTAAGAACAGCCCTTAGCCGTGGTATATTGGCCATATACCACACCCCCTCGGGCCTTATTGCTTATGTACAAATATTCCACAATATAGTGAGTGTGTTGCCTAAGAGATAGGTCCCACCACCACGCAACATGATCGTAACATCTAGCTACAACAATTAATTATATCCAATGTAACTTTATAATAAATACTACATTGTTTAGCCTAAGAACTGTTCATACAGCACATCCTAAATGATTTCAACAGAAAGGTTAGGTAAGACTTACATGGTTCATTCTGTAAGGGAACTCCTTGGGGAAGGCATAGGAAAATCTTGTTTTTACTGTACAAAACAAAAACACTTGTTAGATTTGACATCAAATGAATGCAACCCATCAAGCCATCAGAATGAATGTAGCCTTTGTACCACAGCAATAGTGTATTTGTCATTTTCAACAAAAGATCATATCTAAATGGAAACGCTTCATAGTGTCTCCTCACTTACACACAGACGTAGCTGCAGAGATCAGACGAGTGTTTGAAACAACACCAAATTCCTGGAAGAGACAGTAACAGAAAGGCTTTGAGGAAGCTGTCATAGAGCAGTTTACCCCATTCAACTCCATCACAGACTATCTTACAGAGCAGTTAACCCTATCCCTACTCCCACACAGACTATAAAAACTGGAAAGGAATCAAATGGGATGTCAGGCCATATATACCTCCACTTTCGAGGCCAGGAACACACATGTAGGAGCCATGAGCACTGGGTCTATACTCTTCAGGGAGTACCTGCAGAGGAAGAAATAAGAAAGAGAGAGAGAGAGAGAGAGAGAGAGAGAGTGGGAGAGATAGAAAGAGATTAGGAAGAGGCCCAAAGCTCAGGGCTCCACGCTGACTTCTTTTTTTTTACAGGGAGAATGTGTGCGCCTAAGTTGAAAAATTTAGGAGCACACAAAGAAATGTAGGAGCACAATGAAAAATATTTGAGGTAACAAGTCATTTTTTTTTGTAGTAATGGTGAAAGCATGACGGTCATAAACTTCACAATTATCATCTGGGTGATTTTTCTCTAGGCGCACTGGTGCTCCTAAATTAAAATGTCAGGTCGTCCAGCAAAATATTTAGGCACATGTGGTCGCACTGTAGAGCCCTGTAGATATTATACAATACTCCCCTAGTGCCATTTAGAATTTGCTGATGGATAGAACATAGTGTGGTTGCCATGAAAACGGCATAAGCACCTGGCATAGAAACGTTTGAAGTAGACGGTTGCTGTAGCAATGACCTGCTGGCGGAGCTTCAGGTGTTCCCCCAGTGCCTGGATCACTGGAACAGAACACAAAGCACATCTAAACTCAAATGCGTCAAACAGCAACCTTACAAGACTCAAGGCACTCTTAAAGATATAAGATAATGTAAAGCTACACTATACAGTACAGCTACACTATAAAGACCACTTTACTTTTTCCACATTTTGTTACGTTACAGCCTTACTCTAAAAAAAATAAAAAATTCCTCATCAATCTACACACAATACCAAAGAAAAAAACTGGTAAAGAATGTAAGTATTCAGACCCTATGCTATGAGACTCAATTGAGCTCAGGTGAATCCTGTTTCCATTCATCATCCTTGAGATGTTTCTACAACTTGATTGGAGTCCACCTGTGGTCAATTCAATTGATTGGACATGATTTGTGGTCCTCTGTAGCTCAATTGGTAGAGCATGGCGCTTGTAACGCCAGGGTAGTGGGTTCGATCCCCGGTACCACCCATACGTAAAAATGTATGCACACATGACTGTAAGTCGCTTTGGATAAAAGCGTCTGCTAAATGGGATATTATTATTATTTGGAAAGGCACACACCTGTCTATATAAGGTCCCACAGTTGACAGTGCATGTCAGAGCAAAAACCTAGCCATGAGGTCAAAGGAATTGTCCGTAGAGCTCCAAGACAGGATTGTGTCGAGGCACAGATCTGGGGAACGGTACCAAAAAATGTCTGCCGCATTGAAGGTCCTCAAGAACACAAAGGCCTCCATCATTATTAAATGGAAGAAGTTTGGAACCACCAAGACCCTTCCTAGAGCTGGCAGCCCTGCCAAACTGAGCAATCAGGGGAGAAGGGCCTTGGTCAGGGAGGTGACCAAGAACCCGATGGTCACTCTGACAGTGTTCCAGAGTTCCTCTGCGGAGATGGAAGAACCTTCCAGAATGACAACCATCTCTGCAGCACTCCACCAATCAGGCCTTTATGGTAGAGTGGCCAGACGGAATTCACACCTCAGTAAAAGACACATGACAGCCCGCTTGGAGTTTGCCAAAAGGCACCTAAAGGACTCTCAGACCATGAGAAACAAGATTCTCTGGTCTGATTAAGTCAAGATTCAACTCTTTGGCTTGAATGCCAAGCGTCACATCTGGAGGAAACCTGGCACCATCCCTACGGTGAAGCATGGTCGTGGCAGCATCATGCTGTGGGGATGTTTTTCAGCGGCAGGGCCTGGGAGACTATTCAGGATCAAGGGCCCTGAACGGAGCAAAGTACAGAGAGATCCTTGATGAAAACCTGCTCCAGAGTGCTCATGACCTCACACTGGGGTGAAGGTTCACCTTCCAACAGGACAACAACCCTAAGTACACAGCCAAGACAAAGCAGGAGTGGCCCCAGGACAAGTCTCTGAATGTCCTTGAGTGGCCCAGCCAGAGCCCGGACTTGAACCCGATCTAACATCTCTGGAGAGACCTGAAAATAGCTGTGCAACGATGCTCCCAATCCAACCTGACAGAGCTTGAGAGGATCTGCTGAGAAGACTCGGTGTGCCAAGCTTGTAGCGTCATACCTAAGAAGACTCAAGGCTGTAATCGCTGCCAAAAGGGCCTCAACAAAGTACTGAGTAAAGGGTCTGAATACTTACAGTATGTAAATATGTTTTTGCTTAGTCATTATGGGGTATTGTGTGTAGATTGAGGAGTGGGGGAAAAAAACAATTTAATCAATTTTAGAACAAGGCTGTAACTTAACAAAATGTGGAAAATGTCAAGCGGTCTGAATACTTTCTGAATGCACCGTATACACAAAGGTATGTGGACACCCCTTCAAAATAGTAAATTTGGCTATTTCAGCCACACCCGTTTCTGACAGTTGTATAAAATCGAGCACATAGCCATGCAATCTCCATAGACAAACATTGGCAGTAGAATGGCCTTACTGAAGAGCTGTGACTTTCAACGCAGCACCGTCATAGGATCCCACCTTTCCAACAAGTCAGTTAGTCATATTTCTGCCCTGCTAGAGCTGCCCTGGTCAACTGTAAGTGCTGTTATTGTGAAGTGGAAACTTCTAGGAGCAACAACGGCTCAGTCGTGAAGTGTTCGGACACAAAACCTCACAGAACGGGACCACCGAGTGCTGAAGCGCGTAAAAATCGTCTGTCCTCGATCGCAACACTCACTACCAAGTTCCAAACTGCCTCTGGAAGCAACGTCAGCACAAGAACTGTTCGTCAGGACCTTCATGAAATGGGTTTCCATGGCCGAGCAGCCGCACATAAGCCTAAGGAAGAACTTGACTGGCCTGCACAGAGCCTTGACCTCAACCCCATCGAACACCTTTGGGATGAATAGGAATGCCGACTGTGAGCCAGGCCTAATCGCCCAACATCATTACCCGACCTCACTAATGCTCTTGTGGAA